AGCTCCTTACACTAATAAGCTCGACCTTCGAAAGCCTTATATTTCCCTCATTGTTGAACCTCAATGAGTTCTCCGTTAAAACCAATTAGGAACCTAGGTGACTTGTTAGGATTGTGGAACCCAAGATTTTTCCTCTTATGTCTGATGGTAGCCTTAATTTGAAACATACTTAACCTTGAAATGCTTAGAAGAGTAGGTGTACAACTTAAATAAATCCTTCTTGCTCCACCCATTAAGTAACATTCATCTAATAGGTAAGTTGACCTTCATTTGATAAAAATACAAGAACTTTGTGAGAGTCAACTCAATACCCACATACTTACACAACACCTAGAAAGCACGAAAGAATGCCCAACTACCCAGATGCAGTTGAGTCAAGGCTACATTTTCCTTTCTTAGGAAATTATACTCCAAAACACTAAAAGAAAGAGTAACACACATATCTTGCAAAATACAATGATACATATACATGAACGAACGAGAATAGATCTCCTCGCCCAATGATCACCCTCGGTATAAGGGTGAACAACAAATAGATGCACTTGTGATGGTGCAAAAAGTGCACAACTACCGAGTAATGCCACAACTAACTCTTCATTATCCAACTTACTTTCATACCAATCTACCTCACTCTTAACCCATTATAGTCCTCCCTATCCAGTGGACCTTTTCTTTATCATTATTGAATCCTCCAACATCGACTCTACAAACTACTCAACCCTAACAAAGATGGGCTTTGTCGCCACTAGCTGAACCACGCCAGAAGTTCCCTCACGTGCATTGGTGGGGGCATTCTCCTTAGGCAACCTCATAGAAACCTTAAAGGAGTCACTATCATCATACTCAAGTCTCAAATGTCTCCTCCTCGTTCACACACTCACGCAAAGACAAACAAATTAAAATACTAAAAAACTAGCGAATAGGGGAATGACACCTGAGAGCAAAGAAAATTACAGGAAAACTATCATGGGATCATGAATGACCAAGAACTAGCTATTAACTTGTAACCCATAGCAAAATAAAGGAAGAAATGAACAGTCTGCCGAGGCTACCTATTAAGTCAAAAGATAATCTTGGATCTCTCAAGCTTTATAATTTTAATGCTAATAAATGAAATGTTTTTAAAAAAGAAAATGTACTAAAAAACATCTTCGAAAATATCTTTGAAAATGTTCATCAAACAAAGTGTAAGATGCAGATCATCTATAAGACGATGTAAATCAAACAAAGCATATGATCTATCTTATGTTCATTAAATTTTCATTATTTATTGTGACTAATGACAAAGTTTGTTTTAAATGTTTCATTTCTTAATAGATCAAACTAGAAGATCATCTTGAAACTCACAAATTTGTTAAAGAGAACAAAATCGCACTTTCCATCATAATTAAGAACGAAAATCCCTAATATCATGGAGAAAAGTAAATATAGTCACTACTGTTACTACACTGTGCTGACATTGTTTCTACAAGTTCCATTTGTTATGAAAAGTTTGATAAGTAGTCTCCTTAATCAAATAAGAGATACCATTTGGTGAAATACATTTAATACTTGCATTAAATAAGTCAAACTATTACCTACTATCATAAGGAAAAATGATAAAGATGGACAAAGCAAACTTGTGAGCTTGACTTAAAGTGTTGCAATGGTCATCTTCTCCAAGATACTATATAAGAAAATTCAAAGTTCAAGAAAGAAAGGAGCCATAATATATAGAAAAGGCTTGTATGGAAAGACATACAAAGAAACACTTTTTGTAAATCATATTTATTCTTTCTTATAAAAGCTTAATGATCTATACAGGTTGTATAATGTATAAGTGAGATGAACACAATATTTTTGTAACCTTTATAACCATTGTTATAAGATTAAATCTAAAGAGCCTTGTCTGTAAAATAATACTTGTTTGAGCCCGAAGAGACTTGGTTGAAAAGAATACTTGGTTGTTAAGCTTGGAGTGACTTGTTGTTAAAAGAATACTTGGAAAGGCAAGCCAAATAATACTTTGAGTTGAGACAGAAACGACTTGTTGAAAGAATAATTGTATCTTTGTTTAAAGATAGTGGAACTTAATCTGGTTGGATTGAGAACTAGACACAATCTTGGTAGTTGAGATGAACTAGAGTATAAAAATATCTAGTGTTTCATCTAACTATTATTCACTCTTCATCTGATTGACATTACTACTTCACTACAAAAAATGTGCGAGTCTTTGATACACACTATTTAACCTCCCTTCTAGTGTTTATTTTTCCTTCATACTATCCTTAAATGATAATAGTTCCATTTATCTCTTTCACTTAGTTGACGGACCACATTTGAATTTGCAAAACAATGAGCGACCTAGATATAATCATTAAAACCGCAATCATTACTTATCAACGCATGTGAAAAAACTATCAACAACTTTTATTACACGTCAAATCGTCCAACCACCTACACCACAAAATCGTAAAATGATCAATCTAATAATTCTTTCATGCCCATGGAGCTCGAAACTATAGGGGCTTGTGTACCTCTTAGCTCGGATGAATCGAGCTGAGTTTACCATGAACCTAGTCCTACCGAGTCGAGCTCGCCATGTTGGATCCAAGATATCACCCAAACGTCAATCAAGGAATAATCCCCACATCATATCTCCAAGAATTTAGGAATCCCAAAATACATTAAAGAGCAACACATTGAAGGTAATATCTGTCATTAAACACTATGCACAATCATATGAAAGTATCTACAAATATCATGTAAAAGTATCTCCTAAAATCATGCAACATTATAAAACACTTATATATGGGACACCAGGTATCACTAAAACCCTAATCTCATTCTTAACCTAGACTCTCTTTTAAATTGAGTATTAAAGTGTCTTTATAGATGTCCCTCACCATTACAAATATTAAAGTAACTAGAATGTCATCCTTATCATTAAAACACTTACAGATTTTAGTAAGAATAGTAGTCAAATTATATATTTATACACATGTATACCAAATATTCCAAACTTAAAATTTAGATGATTAAACATTTACATGTAAATTTAATAATATATTAAAATCCACCACTTTATACGGTAATTTTACCTATATTACTATCTTAAAATCCACCACTTTTAATAGAGATTTTTCTATTGCAACCGTAACTTCTTCTTTTTTTTTTTTCATAAGACTTGATATTTTGCTTAACAAATTTAAAGAGTCAGTTCTACTCGAATAAATGTATATACATGCCTGTGATCGTTAAAATTGCACTTTACACATATTTTATTGAACGAATTGATTAATTACTTATTTAAAGAGCCAAGAGAAAAACAAAAACAGTAGTACAAGTTGCGCCAGAGAAAGTTGGACTTTGGTTTGACTCATAATTTATCATTAAATAAAACTACACTAAATGGTACCAAATTTGTGTGCTAATTTTTAACTCACATCTTTCTTTAATCGCGATTAATTATTAAACATTTGTATTGTAGTGAAATAGTGTATAGCAGGACCTTGGTTTGATTCATAATTTAACATTAAATAAAAATGTACTAAATGCATGGTACCAAACTTGTGTGCTACTTTTTAACTTGCATCTTTCTATAATAGTGATTGATTATTAATTAAACATTTGTATTGTAGTGAAAGGGGGTATAATAAATAAATCTTTTGATATTAAGTAGCACGTTGGCTCGCTTGCTTCAAAAGGCATTTTAGTTAATGCTTTTGAATAAGGTATCAAGCAGATCATGCACATCAACAAGGAAATGGAAAAGCACGTATAGTTTCATTAATGATCTGCTTATGATTAATTAATACGGACATTTAATTGAATAAATTATTTATTTACAATCGATGGTCCCTCTACACTTTTTGGGTTAAGGACGATGCCTTTCAAAGTTTAGTTGTTATCACATGCCCCGACAAAGCTCACTCAATTCTCTTTCACTTGCTTCTCCTTTTTATTTCCTTGAAATTATTGTTTTCTAACAAAGTTAAAGTGAAAGTAGGGAATTTTCATCTTTCAGCATGAAAAGTGAAGAAAAAAAAATAAAATGAAAGAAGCCCAAAATTGAAAACTTGTTTAAGTTCTTGTAATAATTTTTTTCTTCTAAATCATACTTTTTTCATTTAAAAATTTTAAATATGGAACTTTACTTAAAAAATCAACTTCAGTAATAGTGATAAAGGTTAATTACTATACAATTTACTAAATAATTTGAATACTAAGTTGAATCAAGTAATGAACCTCAAAAACAAAGTGGGATATAAAGGAAGTGGGGAGAGTACAAAATATATTATTGATATTTAGAATATATGAGTAGCACTTAATGTGGGGAATGTGGATAGAAAGGCAATGAAAAACACAAGAAAGGAGAAGCTGGCAAAATGAAAGAGAGAGAATAAGAGGGAGGAAGGTGGGTCGCACGTTAATTCATTATGAAAGAGGGTTGTCACCCTCACTTTCACGATTCACACACAATGCCAAAGGCAAAAAGTGCACCTTCACAGACAATCACATCTCTCTCTCTCTCTCTCACACACACACACAATATCTGTATTACTGTTCACAAATGCATCAAATTCCATGCCCACTCTCAAAGCATGCTAGCAAAGTAAATTAAATACTCCCATTACAAACCATAATAAAATATGATCCAAATAATAACTTCTTTTTTTTAACTAGGCTATCTTCCTAGAATTCTTATCCATTTAAGGATAATACTTCTAACAACAAATGCTAGACCTAATTCTTCTTGGTAATACCTAGACCATCACAATAGGCCTCTATGCATAACTAATCCGAGATTGTCATTAAACTTCATTATTACATTGAGTCGATAACAAAGTATTAAGTAAAATTTAATTTTCATGTTCAGACAAAATAAAAAATTAAATTCAGAACTTGACTGATTATCTTTAATTGAGTATCTTATTTTAATTATATTTTATTTTTATAAGATTTAAATTGGAAATCTTATCATAGAGAATCAAGTTTAATTTTAGTCATATAATTGGTTGTATTAATTGGTTGATTTGAGTTTAAGATTGGTGTAAAGTAGAGTGAAAAAGAGGTTGGTTGGTGGTAGGTAGTGAAAGCAAGTGGAAGGCTTAACTAGGAGGAAGCAAGAAACTGGACAACCTCATCGTTTTGCTTCTTCTTCTTCTGTTACTCTGCCTCTGGGCTTTTCTCTCTGTCTTTCACTCTGTTCGAGATTTCTCATAGCAACAACAACAACATTATAATATTACACACAAAAACATAAAACCTTTCTCTTTGCATAAGTTTCCCGCTTCTTCAATTCTTTGAAACCTTCTTCTCTGTCTCACAAAGCTTCCCGCTTTTGCAATTTCGTTAACTAAATTCTTTTGAAGCAGATTTCGTTCTTCTCTTTCTCGTTTTGCGGGAAAGTTGAACAAGAAATGAATACCAGAGCACGCACCACTCTTCACTCAATGAAACCTCCTTTAAATGATGCCAAAGTAACTTCTTCTTCTTCTACATTTTTTTTTTTCAATTTCAAAAAAGTTTTATTTTATTTTATGCAAAGATCTTAAGAAACAAACGAAATGACAATACAAGCTTATGCTAGTTTATCTGTTTCTGAACTCTTAAAAAAAAGGTTGGGAATGATTCTTATTAACTGAGAAAAAGTGTGTGCTTTTGAACCAAATCTGAACTGGGTTCTTAGCTTATCTCACGAAACGAATAATTTATTTATTTATTTATTGTGTTCACTTTATGGTTCTTTTTTGTGAAGGAGGGAAATTGAGTTGAATGTTAATGATTTGTTTATTGGTGAATGTGGAAAGCAGGGGAAGATGGAAACCGGAGGGAAGAGAACAATGGGTGGCCTCGAGAATGGGCGTCGATCCAATCGAGAAAGGAAAATGGCTTTGCTTCAAGATGTACTTTGAGTCTTCCTAAAACCATGTTACATTGTGTTCCTTTTGTTCTTTCATCCTAGTTTTTGGTTCGTAAAGTAAAATCACTAGTGGTTCATGTTTTCAAGGTTGGTGCAAATGCAGGTAGATAAGTTGAAGAGGAAGCTTAGACATGAAGAGAATGTTCACAGAGCTTTAGAAAGAGCATTCACTAGGCCTTTGGGATCTTTACCTCGTCTTCCTCCTTATCTTCCTCCATATGTTAGTCTCTCTCTCTTGGTTTGTTGTTCAACTTCAATCATGCACATTCATGAGTTTCAGTTTCATCAGGCAATGAGTTAGTTCATTGTATCTGAATAACACAACTACAGAAAACTCTATTTTTTATAATGATAAAATTTAGATGTAATTCCTTAAATATTGATATGTTGTTTTCCAATCAGAATTAGAATTTCACCCCCTGATAATCGGTGTAACAAAAATTATATTGAGAGAATAAGTATATGAGGTTAAACTCTAACTCTAATAAGATTGTACCACCAAAAACATACAACATTTAAGTTTTGTCCTTATTGATGCTGTTTTGTTCACTGTTTTAGACATTGGAGCTTTTGGCTGAAGTAGCAGTGTTGGAGGAAGAGGTGGTTAGACTTGAAGAGCAGGTTGTGAATTTTCGACAAGGCTTATATCAGGAAGCTGTCTACATTTCCACAAAGAGGAATGCAGAGAATTTGAATGACCCTATTGACCAAAACAGCATCAGAAGTTCCAAGCATCAGAGATCAAAATCCATGTCTCAAAGTGAGTTCAATTCAACTATTATGGGTAGGGTTCAGCCTTCTCTTGCCAGAAGTGCTTCCAGCAGAAAGCTAATGTTCTCCCCTGACACTGCCAATGACCACACTGGGAAGCCAGTCCACGGGAAGCAATTGCACAGAAAACAAGATTCATTCTCGTCTATCCCTGAAGAGGGAAGGGGAAAAGAGAACCGATCATTTGGTAACTTTGTGAAGGATAAGCAATCACCAGAGAAGAAAACGACCAAAGTCATTACTCCAATAAAGAAATCTCCACTCAAACAAGAATCACCTGAGAAATGCATGGATCACTTTAAGTTACAGGTAATTAGATAGTAACCCCACAATTACAATTTTCTATAGTTTTTTGCTAGTGTGTGTTTGGAACTTCTTATTCCTTAGAGCTAACAAAATAAATTTCTATTTGGGTAAACTTTAGAAAAATAGAAAGAAAAAATGAAATAAGTTTTTTTTGCAAGTTAATTTGTAGAAGCTCTCTCTTATTAGCTTCTTCAAAATCTTATTTTTAACATATGTAAAAACTAGTTTTTGCCTATCGAGAAACTTATTTGAATTTATCTTATTTTTCTTTCTTAGAAGTATGTTTTGGAAAAGTTTATCCAATCAGGTCCTTAGCAAATATTTCTTTAAAATAAGCTGAATCTAACACACACCAATATGATTGAGCTGTCTATTCAACAACACTCTTTTGTTTCTGCCTTCCCAGCTGGACTGGAGATTAGCAGATCATGAAAGGGCTCAGAGTTCCTCAAGTTCATCAGATGATAAGGTTTCAGAAGTTGATAGCACACCCAATAGAGTTTCGGAGGATATTGTCAAGTGCTTGTGTAGCATATTTGTGAGAATTGGTACATCCAAGGACAAAATTGGAGAATCAAGAACACCTTCCCGCTCTGCATCAGTTTTCAACCAATGCATCAAGGAAAAGGATCAATTGTGTGATCCTTATGGTATCTGTTCAGAGTCCAAAACAAGAGAAGTTGGTCCATATAAAAATTTATGTGAAGTTAAAGGCTCCACTGTTGACCTGAACCGAACAACAAATGCAGTGTTTCTGATCCACAGATTAAAGTAAGCTATAGACGGTAGTTAAATGATTTGGTTGATGATACAATAGGTATCTATCTAATATTGCAAACAAATTCAGGTTCCTACTTGGGAAACTAGCCTCTCTGAACTTGAAGGGTCTTACTCATCAGGAAAAGCTTGCATTCTGGATAAACACTTACAATTCCTGCATGATGAATGTAAGACACCTTTCTGACACTAATTTACTATATTTTATTACAATGCAAGATTCAAGAGTTAGTTGGGTATTCTAGTTCATGATTTGAATTGAATTTGAATGTCATCTTATCTTGCTTAATATGCTGAACCAACACCTTAAATGATTCTGGTCTCAATGTTGTAGGCATATTTAGAGCACGGCATACCCGAGAGTCCCGAAATGGTTGTAGCATTAATGCAGAAGGTACGATGATTTGGGAAATATTCTCAACATTCATTATTATTGTTATAGTCGTTGTTGTTAAACAAGAATATTGAAAGCAGTAGAAGCATTGATGGTCTTTCTGTCTAACTTGGGATTGTTTGTTGTATGCTGCTTGAAAGCATCAATCCCGAGTCCAACGGTTATCAGCCACAAAATTCAATAGACAGAAAGAAAATAAAAAATAAAAAAAGAACTTCATTTTTCTGTATCAGTTTGGATTAGAGTATTGGTTTGTTCAAACCATAAATACTCAGTTTGACCATGTGTCCCTTCCAATGCTAAAATAGATTCTAATGTTATCTGAGTCTGAGATTAGACCACCTTCAGTGTGTCCCTGTGAAATTGGTTATTGATTAAATTGCTAAATTATATTGTAATTCTAAAGGCCATTTCAACTTCTTTAATCTATTTCTAACAAACTCTACTAAAGTATTTAATGTTCTGTCAACATATATATATATAAAATAAACATCAATTAAGACATGGCAATGCATGTGTCAGGCAACGATAATAGTGGGGGGCCAGTTGCTGAATGCAATTACCATAGAGCATTTTATCTTGAGACTGCCTTATCACCTCAAGTTTGTAAGTGCAATAATCTTCTCCTTTCTTTCCAATTTAGAGTTTAGACAGAATAAAGTTGGCTTTGCTTCTTTTTGAACTTCTTATTGTTCTTTATACTGAAGTTAATGTCCTAAATATATGTTACAATTTGTCCCTTAATTTTTATCTTGGCATCCTGCTACAGACCTGTCCCAAAGCTGCAAAAAATGACGAGATTAATAAAGCACAAAGCATATTTGGCCTGGAATGGTCTGAGCCCTTGGTAACATTTGCACTTTCATGTGGAAGCTGGTCTTCACCTGCAGTATGTTTTTCTACTTCACTTTTAGCAGATAACATTATTCTTATGTGGGCACTGATTAATTATTTTTGAGCTTAGCTACTGTTTTAGTATGTTATCGATGTCATGTGTTACGCATCCATTTTTTCTTGAATCAATTTGGATTTAAAAAAAAAAAAAAAAAAAAAGAAGCTTAACATTGTCAGATATGTTAATTTGATTGTGAGAAATTTGAAATTAATTCAATATCGCAGACATGTACTAAGAATGCAAGTACGACATAAAAAGACATGTTTTCCAGTTTTTAGTTTTCCATTTTATATTATTAGGATAAGTAACGATGTTGGGTATTGCAAGTGTTATTGTTATTATGAATCACTACTAGATCAGTAGATTTTATGCTTAGGAACTTGTTAATCAGTGTAGAAACATTAGTTACACCCTTATTAAAAAATTAGCATTACTTAAAAAAGCATGTATTAAATATGTTTTTCTATTTCCAATGTAAAAAAACCTTTTTTTTATTTGATTTTTAGGTGAGAGTTTATACAGCATCACAAGTTGATGATGAGTTAGAAGCAGCAAAGAGAGATTATTTACAGGCTTCAGTTGGAATCACAAAAACGAACAAGTTAATAATCCCCAAGTTGCTGGACTGGTATTTACTGGACTTTGCAAAGGACTTGGAATCTTTGTTGGATTGGGTCTGCCTCCAACTACCTGACCAAATAAGAAAGCAAGCAGTTGAATGCCTTGAAAGAAGAGGAAGGGATTCTCTTTCACATATAGTACAAATGATGCCCTATGATTTCAGTTTCAGGTTGCTTTTACACCACTGACTTCTCACAACTGTTTGCTTCTTAACTTTGGTGTGGTGGGTTTTTTTGTACATTGGGTGGTTCACACAGAAAGTACATAAGCCAAAGGATGTCATGTTTTCATTTGGGAATGGGTTTGGGCTTTTGGGTTATTTATATGGGTCATTCATGGGTTAGTCATAAGTCATGCTTTTAGGAAATATATACATAGAAATGGAGGTTTCTTAGACATTCATTTGGATGCAAACGTTTTGGATTCATAATAATTTTATATACTGCTTTAACCCATGGCACCAAATGCCAAATGGCAATAGCTCCGTTAGATTAGACACTGCGATAATTTTCATAATGTTCATTTCTCCGACGTAAAAATTAAATGGTTAAATTAGTTGTTGAAATTATATATTATTTTAATTAGTCATTAATTCTAATAAATTTTTTAAAATTTTAAAAATATAATATGTCATTCATTTAAGTATTTTTGTTAAATATTTTTTTTTTTATAAATAAAAGTGTTTATATAATAGGATAGGGTGCTGTGACATATATGTAATACGTAAGTGGATTGACATATGTTAAATGAGTGTATCATGTGATATATAATTATAAATACTATCATTTTAATCTTTGAAACTATAACACTATAGCAAATTGTAACTCAATATTATTTTAATTTCTAAAATTTTAATTTGATGTCATTTTAGTCTACAAATATTATTATAATTTTATTTTAATCAATTATGACTTGAATACTTTCACGATAAAATAGATAATTAAATAAATATTATAATTAAATAAATATTATAATTAAATAAATATTATAAATCCTAAACCCTAAACTTCTACACATAAAAGACAAAAAATTAAATTATGTAAAAGTACTTTTAGGACTTTTATTTGACAAATGGTTTTTTTAGAGATTCTTTTAATTTCATACTTAATTTGATTTATTTATGAATTAAATATTAATATTTTAAAATAAATTATCATTAAATAAATATAATCTTGTGTTATAATATAAATTATTTTTCATAAATATAAAATATAATTTATATTTAAAAATAAATATTTTTCAAATTTTTATATGTAATTTATATATTCAAACATAATATGTATTTATATACATAATTTATTTTAAATTTTAATTATATATAATAAATATTTAACAAGTGTGTTGCACCTAATAGAATACTAATTTTTTTATTTTAAATATGCTATATCTCTTCTTCTAATTTTTTAATTGTTCCCCTCTTTTATCTATTTTATTTTCTAAATATACATAAATAAAAACACTTTCTAATTTCTCTATATTTATATTTTATTTTCATAATTAATTCTCTTATATAAATTATTTCTTTTTTTTTTTTCATTGTGAAAATATCTATATTACTTTCATTTCTAAAAAAATATATTTTTTTAGAAATGAAAGTAATATAGATATTTTCACAATGAAAAAAAAAAAAGAAATAATTTATATAAGAGAATTAATTATGAAAATAAAATATAAATATAGAGAAATTAGAAAGTGTTTTTATTTATGTATTATAAAATAAAATGAATAAAAATTTAACAATTGAAGGATGAATATATTTATCATCATGTTTACAATATTAACTTAATTATCTTTTTTATTGTGTAAATATTTTAATCATAATTACTTGATTAAAATAAAATTATGATAATGTTTGAAGACTAAAGTAATATTAAGTTAAAATTTTAGGGAATAAAGTAACACAATATTACAATTTTAGGTATTAAAATAATTATATTTTATAGTCATATGCCACGTAACATACATCCACATAATACGTGACACTTCACATATATCATATGTATATCACATGACACTATCATCTTATCTAAATACTTTTATTTTAAAAAAAAATAGAGCTTATTTAATAGAAGAACTTAAATGAATAAAAAAATTATATTTTTCGAGAACTTTATTTAACTTTCATTATAATTCATGAACTAAATTGAAAGCCACATACAATTTCATGAACTAATTAGACCATTTACTCAATAAAAAAAAAAATTTAAGATTGTTATTTATCCTCAGTGGAAATAGGCTTATCCAATACAATTTCAAATTAGTATTTCAAGTCAACCCTTTAAATAAGAGATCTTTATTTTAATATTCTTTTCCCTTGATCTTATGGTTGTATATTGATTAATAACTTCATATGGATTCTACCAAAATATTGAGTTCATGAATTTGAAGGACAGACTAGTGACCAAAGCTACCCAGGAATGGAAACCGAACAGCGAGGAGATTTTTACAAGTGCGATAACAATATAGTTATGTTGATCACTGCAATGCATGTGTTTTTTTAGTCCATAGAAAATGAAAAAAAAAAAAAAAAAAACAATGAGAAGAAAGGTAAAGGCAAAATAAATAATTTTCTTCCCTTCCTTCCCATTTGATTGAAAATAGAGTAAAAAGAAGCAATTGTATTAAGGAGAAAAAAACAAACTGACAGATTATTTTTCTATTTTAGATAGCCTAACCTTTCATTTTGTCTTAAATAATCAATTTCTTTTAGAAAACTCCTTATATAATCATTAAGTCCCTAATTTTTTTTAATGTTTATAAAGGTTAATTAAAGTACAATAAAAAAAATCTACACCATCAATAAAACTTTTTGTATTCCATTATCTAATGAATATTATATTTAAAAATAATCACTTTAATGTATATCAACTTTTCTTATCAAAAATCAACACAAGTGGTTTAGAAACATGTTTTTTAATTAAGGTCTAGAGTTAAATTTTCGATTTGAACATAGGATCAAGGTGTTCCACTTTATTTTTATAGGAACTCACTTCATGGGAAAG